CTAAACCCTAAACCCTATACTGTATACTGAACGACCATAGGCTTTCGGCATGTCGGGTAGAGCGTTTTGGCTTTAAACGTTCAGGGTTGAGGCTGCAGGATCTAGGTTTTGGGGTCTGGTTTAGGGCTTAGGAGTTTAGGAGTTTAGGGTTTAGGGGTCTGGTTTAGGGCTTAGGAGTTTAGGAGTTTAGGAGTTTAGGGTTTAGGAGTTTACGGGTTTAGGGTTTAGGAGTTTAGGGTTTAGGGTTCAGGGGTTTTAGGGTTTAGGGGTTTAGGGTTTAGGGGTTTAAGGTTTAGGGTTCAGGGGTTTATGGTTTAGGGTTCAGGATTTGGGAATTACAGGACATGTTTGACGTTAGTCTCTTGCAACCCCTGCGGGCAGCTCAGTTCCAAGATACATCCCCTAAACCCTAAGCCCTAAGCCCCTACAGCCTAAATTTCGGGACATAGGATCCTGGTAGGAAGTTTTAGAGCGGTGGAGAGATGCGGGGGCAGTTTGGGGTCCGCACAGGGGCCGAGAGCATCGACGGATGTACGGCTGTGTGCGCCGCGGGCATCGCGCACCTCCAAGTCCGCCTGGAGAAGAGGTCAGCCTGCGCAGCACCAGGCGACGCCTCTCGGAGCGGTCCCTGCCTGCACTGCGGGACATGTGAAGTGGAGCCACTCCCACTGTCCGGATGTGGACAACTTGTTCAGGTACACTTCGGGCGTTGCGTCGACAACCCAAGCAGAACTCGGCGCTGCGGATTGCCTCAACAGGCGATGGTACACCGTGTGCCCATCGTGGCTCAACGAGTCAGTGGAGGCTACGCAATCGACTGTGGAGTCCTCGAAGTGGACCATGAGCAGCTCTAGCGAAGGCTTTGGCTCAATTGCCCCGTGTAAGACCGTGCAAGCTAAAAACACAATGTAGGGGTCCTAACAATCAGAATAGGGTTTTGGGGCATACCATACTAAGGAGCCCCAATTCATTATTGGCAAAAGTTTTGACACCTGCATTATGTCGGAATATGGGAGCTGCAGTGTTTTCATAGGGTGGTGAGACTCTGGTGCCCGAAACTATCGGTAATTAGTCTCCATTGCAGGTCCTTTTCGGCGCTCCCTTTTTGGATCCTAGGGATCAAAGTGTTTAAACCAAAAACAACCGACAACGGAGACTACAGGTACGTCTCAAGACTAGTCATGACACGGAGCTACGGCTTAGGGTTTGAGGCATCTCACAATCCCTAGGACCCTAAACCCCCTGCATCTGGGGTCAGGGCGAACCCCCACCCCTATCGAATAATATACGGGACTCAACAATTAGAATAGGGTTTGGGGGTATATACTACCATGAAAACAAGGAGCCCCAAGGAATGTTCCCAAGTATCTTGCTTCAATATTAGCCAGACTCCGGGTTTCTGAGTCCAGACAGCTGCACGAACTGGATTCTGATCTTGTAAGGCGCCGGCTACAAGCCACTGGAGGATGCCCATCCTTAGAGATGTTGGGGTGCAGGGGAAGTTCAGTCAAAATGTGTCTTTGGACCAGATTCCATGATCGCGGGATTCGTTGGGCTTATACTAGGGTTTGGGATGGGTTTTCGGAAATTTTAAAGGTTTAGAGCTTGGGTTTACGGGGTGCCGCGCTGTGTCTTGTGTTTGGGGTTTGCGGTTGAGGGTTCGGGGGTTTCGGGCTTAATTACGGTCCCGAGACGCTAGGGTTCTGCGAGCCCACCGCTTGCAGGGACACCGAAGCCGGTCAACGTCCGAGAATCGAGGGCCCAAGAATGCCAAACGCACCGCGCAGCCTTCATCTTTTTGGGGGCCCCTCCGGAACCCACAAAACAAGCAGTTTAGAGTTTCGGGCCTCGGGTCTCAGATCCAGGGTGTAGGGTTAGGCTGTAGGGTTGAAGGCTTCCAAAAAGACACGCAGACCCCGTTGCGGTTGAGGAACGCGTCCTCGATGCCTAAACCCTACTGTAAACCGAGTTGGAAAGCACCCGAAACGATCGAGACTTCTGCAAGGAGGATTAAGTGCTTCACTGAAAGACTCAATTCAAGGCCCATCTGCCTGGGATTACAAACTGAGCAGCAGCTTGAACTGCAACTGGGTGGCCAATTTCGTGTCCTGCGAGTCCGCAGCTTGGCCATACTACCCCGGGAATCTCCCCAAAAAATTGGCCCTGAACCCTAAAGCCTGAAAGTTAACACTCAAGCCTCAAACCCTAAAGCTTTTTGCAAGAAGGTCTCATGTTGAAGTTTGATGGAACTCGGGGATCACAACCCCTAAACCCTAATTTAGAGCACTACCCATAACGAAGCTTATGGCACCCTTTGAGAAATCCCATAGAAACCCTGATGGATCCTTTAAGGAACCCCTGAAAGGCAGCCGGCGATTGACGCGACCAGACTAAGGAGTGTCCCCGGTAGGACTTTGGGACAGTCAGCCCGGGGAGGCACGTGGCTCCGACCCAGGGTTTACTTTAGGGGTTTAGTTGTTTAGGAGCCTGTATCCCACCCCTCTTGACGGACCGGTGGAGCACATCTTCCGTGATGCAGAGTAGCACCGGACCCGCAGTGTGTGCTGGCCGATACAAAGGACATGACAGTCCCTTGTCTGCACTCCGATACTCCGCAACCCCAGATCTCGTCTGTCTACATAAGCTTCTTAGGTGAGGCAACCTGCAACCCAAACACAAACGCACTAAACCTGCCCCTCAGCCGAACAATTGAACTGATGACAACCATCGATGTCCAAAGATATTATATATATATGCATACACACACACAAACAAACATGTGTGTCTATATCTGTATACATGTATATGTGTGAGTAGAATATATCTCCCTCGACAGACGGCCTAGAATGCCCTCTCTGGGCAGGCTTCATGTGGTGGGTGATGCGCACAGTCACCATGCAACCTAAGCCCCAAACCCTAAACCGTATAACATGACCTAAACCTGCCGCTCTGCATTACATTCCCCCTCTAGGACCCTGTGAGGCCGACCCCACGTGCATCCCGCCATCACCCAGCAACACATTAGCCACATCAGTTTGGGACGGGTCTCTTACAAAACCCACAAAACCCTCAAAAGCGATGACCCTAAACCGGAGACCCTAATCTTACAAGCTAAAGCCGAAACAACGTTCCAGAGCGGTCCTGGGCGACTGAGCCATGCCAGTTTCCCGATCTTGGCTCCTCTCCTAAATGCAGGTGCACGGCTCAGGGCATTAGGGTACGAGGCTTTGGGCATAGAGTTTGGGGCTTTGTTGGGCTTTTTGGGGCTTTGGGCTAGGGCTGACGGCTTCGAGCTTCGACCTCAGGGCGCGAGGGCTTCAGTATGGCGTCGTTTTCTTTTTTGGCAGCCCTAGCACTAAACCCCGAAGTCAGAGTGGCCTAAACTCTAAACCCCTTGGTCCTGGGTGTGGGTGGCTCCTTTTCTTCTTGGGAGTGGCGGGAGTCAGTTTCCCGGGAGTGCTGATTTTCCTACATGCAGCGTCCCGGACTTAAATCGTCTGGCTGGCCTGGTTGGATGTGGCTCCAGCCCCGGCACAGCGTCAGAAAACCGGAGGCCTGAGAGCACTTTTGGCCCTGAACTGCGAGGCAACAACCGGCAAACCCTTCCAAGCCGTAAACTTCGAAAGTCCCAAAAGAAATTGAAAAAAACTGTGTGGACGAACCCTGAACACTAAACTCCCAGACGATCACGACGAGGCTCCAGGAACTGCATCACGAGGGGCCCGATGAACATTGCCAAGGGCCCACGCATCAGCACCTGGCTCTTCCAGGTCTGGGGTGGGGCTCACATCCCCAAGAACCCTTAGAGCCAGAATAAGAGAATGTTCCCTTTTTTGGGTTTACCAAATTATATATCAAGGATCCTATAAGGTAACCCCCAAAAGGAACTATCATGGAGACTATAGGTAGTTCACAATCCCCCGGAGTTATGTGAGAATAAAAGACGAGCAACTCCTCAGAACGCGAAAGAATCTGGAGTTTAGGGTTCAAGCCTTAGGTTGCAGGCATAGGGCCTGTAGGGTCTGCTCTAGATTGTGTCATCTCGAGGGTCATCGTTGTAGTAATCACCTAACCTTGTAGTTTAGGGTTTAGGGACTTAGGGTTTATATAAGGTTTAGTGGCTTTGGGTTTAGGGCTTTTTGTGCATACCTGCAAGGAATAGGTGAGCTCTAGGGCACTCCCAAACTTCACAGTGAGGGTCATGGCTGGGTAACGGGTAAGAACTTCGGGGTCCGAGGAGATCGTAAGTGAAGCTACAACCCTCGACTATGTAAGGTTTAGGGTTTAGGGATCAGCCCTCATAGCAGAAGGTATTTCGGGTCCAAAACTGGGCTCCGCGATTCGCCTGAAGGTCGAGTTTTCCTTGTGCTAAGCATGCTACTTCTTCGAAGACGCACTGGCCTGAACCCCTGAATCATAAACCACACCTTCTGCGTAGGAGTCCTGAGCCCTGAACTGGCTCGAAGCCCTAAACCCTAAAACCCTTAAACCCTATAGGCCCTAAACCCTAAACCCAAAACCCGAAACCCCAAACCCTGACCCCTAAACCCTTCCCCTAAATGCCCTTTAGGGTTGAAGGAGTTGAGTTTCCGACTCAGGACTTCGGGCTTCAGGGATTAGGGCTTTGGGGGGGGGAGGGGGGTGGGGTTTTGGGGTTTAGGGTTTAGGGGTTTCGGATTTAGGGGTTCAGAGTTTAGGGCTTCAAGCTTCGGGCGATAACCCCTTCTCTGCGCCGGCACCTTGTGCCGGATGCGGACCAGCCACCAGACGGCCTCAAGACGGACTTGGCTCTGGAGGGCTGGGGGCAAAGCTATGTTTCGGGTTCGGGCCTTCAGGGCTTTGCCCTAAAATCCTTGCAGCAAAACACCTTGTAGGACTACCCTAAACCGTGATTCTGTTGGGCCCCTCGCCGGCACTGCAAGGAGTTTCGAGTCCTCAGCAGCCTCCATGGCATCGACGACCTTCCGTGGAGGGTCAAGGAGGTGCTGGGCCAGTGCTGGGATTTACTAAAAGCGTCGGGTTAGAAGTAAGCTAACAGCAGTCGCATCCGCGTACGTCCCCAGTTGAAGTACTTTTAGGTCTACTTTATGAAACCACCGGAATCGTTAAGTGGGTTTGGGAAGATCCTGCATTTTTGCATGTGTGCCTATTCTTATACACACATACAGATCCTTATCCGTATCCGTATCCATGTCCGTATCAATCTGCATCTGCCTATACATAGACATGTATATGTATATATCTACACACATATACATGCATAAATGTTCGTATACATTTGCACATGTTTACGTACATACCATGTATATGTATATGTATGTTATGCATATCTGCATATGTATATATATATATGTATGTAGGAGGTGTGTATACATATATATATATATATGTATATATATATGTATATATATATATGTATGTATATATATATATATATAGATATGGGTCATAGGGTTCTCTAAATCCTGAAGCCACAACCCTAAACCTTAAGCCCAAAACCCTCAAGCCTAAACCTTAATCCCTAAACCCCCACGCCTAAACCTTACAGTGAGGGCTCGGTGCTTGTGGCGAATGTCGGAGCTTGCTAACACCTGCTCAAGGCAGTCCCGCAAAATGCCTAGCTTTAGGTTGAGTGCTAACAAGCTATGGGCTTAGGGATTCGGGGTTTAAGAGTTTAGAGCTTAGGGTTTAGAGTTTAGGGCTTAGGGTTTAGGGTCTAGGGTTTAAGGTTTAGGGTCTAGGGTTTAGGGTTTAGGGCTATTAGTTCTGGTTTGGAGGTATGGGCTTAGGGAGTTTGGGTTAGGATGTCTCAAAGTCGTCCAGCCGAAACCAAAACCTCCTACACCCCCATGCCTAAGGATCCAAAATTAATGTAAACCCCAAACCCTACACCCTAAACACCTTATCACACACTCAACAACCTAAACCCGAAACCCAGAACCCCAAACCCCTGCCTACACCGCGGAAGACTAAGCCCTTAGCCTTCCAGCTGGTTTAGGGCTTAGAGTTCAGGGGTTAGGAGACCCCAGAAATTCTTGTAAGCCCTAAACCCTAAACCCCCTAAACCCTAAGCCCTAAACCCCCTAAGCCCTAAACCCCTTAAGCCCTAAACCCCTTAGTAGAACACTTCGAGGCCCCCTCAAAGGAACCTTCAACGACTAAAGTCGCCTGACCCTCAGCGGCCCGGAGGCTCTCGGTTTAGGGTTTAGGGTCTAGGGTTTAGGGTTTAGGGTTTAGGGTTTTGGGTTTAGGGTTTAGGGTTTAGGGTTTAGGGTTTAGGGTGTAGGGTTTAGGGTTTACGGTCTCGGGTTTTGGGTTTAGGGTTTTGGGTTTTGGTATTAGGGTTTATCCAGAGCCCGCCTGCTGGTACTCGGGACTCTCCTTCCAACGGAGAGAAGACTTGGAGCTATATGGGTAGTCTTTAACCCTAAACCCTAAACCCTGGAATAGTCATAAATTACAATAATAAGACTATACTGGTAGTTCTCGAAGTTAGGGACAGTTCGGGTTCCTTTAAGGGTCCTTTTTACAAGGGTGTCGTAGTGCATGGAGGACCGATATAAAAAGGGTCTACTTTCAGCGACGAGGGTTTAGGGCTTGGGGTTTAGGGCTTAGGGTTTGGGGCTTAGGGTTTGGGGCTTAGGGTTTGGGGCTTAGGGTTCGGGATTTGGGGTTAAGGACTTAAGCTTTGGAAGCTTTGAGTTTGGAGGTTTCGGGGCTTCGGGAATGGCTTTAAGAGTTGGGGCTCGGGGCTTGGGGCTTCGGGCTACTTAAGGGTTTAGGGTTCAGGGTGTAGGGCTTAGGGTACTATCCTTGCTATCGCTCCTACCACTGTAAATATCACGCTAAACCCGAAACTTGAGACCTGAACCGGAGTGTTGACTCTTCTGACACTTAGAGGCTTGGCAAGCAAAGAGGTGATAACTTGGGGTTACAAGTAGATAAGGGTACGTAGTTCTGTCTGAATTAGGGTCCCGTTTAGGGTCCTGTTATAAGGGTGCCATGCAGTTTTAGGGACCTAAACGGGGCCCTGATTTAGAAAGCTACCCATATGTCGTAGATACCTTCCTTACCACAACCCCGTTTGCTAAGGCTCCGGATCCTCCCTGACACGTCGAGCGCCAATACACGAAAGAAGACTTATACATTATGAGTTTAGGGCTTCGGGTTTAAGGACTTATAGATTACAGTAATATATATGAGGGTTTAAGGACTTTTAGATTCTAGTATTATACATTAGGGTTTAGGGTTTAGGGTTTAGGACAAAGCCCTTACAGGAACTGCAGAGCATACTCTTGGGAAGGGGCTCGGAAACCACACTTCGCTGTCTGAAGGTGTAAAGTTCAGGGGCTTGACTAGGGTTTCGGGTTTAGGGTCTAGGGTTTTGGGGTTTAGGGTTTTGGGGTTTAGGGTTTGGGGGTTTTGGGTTTAGGGTAAGGTTTAGATTCAGGTGTTCGGGTTTGGGGTTGAGCGGTCTTCCCTTTTGGGGTCAAAGGCTGTCCTCCCAAGTCGACGTCGGAATCCTGAAGCAAATAAACCGCCGAGTAAAACACCGAAATCCTGACAACATGGACCTTGGAGATCCTTTTAGGGTTTAGGGTTTAGGGTTTAGGGAATCTTCCACGCCTTTAAAAGCAAGCCCAGGATGGCTGGGTCTATTAGAGTCTACTGTACTAGAAGGATACAGAAGAACTACTCACAACATGGTACTGCTGGAAATTGCTCGGACTTGTATTGAACGCAATGCAGGGGCCTTCATAATTAGAATAGGGTTTGGGGGGGGCCCTATAGTATAATCATAACAAGGAGCCCGCAGAACTATATAGGTAATTCTTGAGCCCCCTATATTAAACCCTAAACCCAAAACCCTAAACCCTAAACCGTGGCGTCCATAAGACGGAGACTCCTACATCCGACTGTCGCCGCAAGAGTCCGAAGGCCTCGGCAGGCATGCTCCAGCCGGGTAAGTACCTGAGCCGTTCTACGGGTCTGGCTGAAAGGTTTCTTTTTTGTGTTTAAGGGCTCTTTTCTGTCTGCACGAAGTCGGCTACGAGCTTCAGAACCCTCTTTCGGCTGAAAGGGTCTAGGGTTTAGGGTTTGGTGCGTTTAGGGTTTAGGGCTTACGGCTTTGGGGCTTAATGCTTTAAGGGTTTGGGGCTAGGGTTTAGGCTTTGGGGTCTAATTAGGGCGTTGAGGGTTTAGGGCTTAGGGCTTAACACTATCCATGCTTCTTCCGTGTTTGTACTTGCACTGCTTTCGGTCTATATCCTGAAAAAGCAGATGAAACCACCGAGCTGCAACAAGAACCCTAAACCCGAAACCCTGAAGCAAAAATAGCCAGGGCGCAGCTTCGCAGCAGCTGACGTGTGGCACCAGGAGGCCCAGAAGAAAACCAAGGCGCCTGCAGAAAGCTGCGAATCGAAACTGGGTTTAGGGTTTAGGGTCCGGTATCGAAACCAAGAAACTACGCAGACGTAATGATCCAAGCAGCATGTCAGGGTTGCCCGTTTGTAGAGGATCTATAGGGTTTACCCTGGATGCGGCTTTCGTCTGCTAGGCTCCCTTTGCTAAATGCCACCTATCGATTTGGTACTGTTTACTGATGTGCTGCCGCTGCGCAAAGCAATGCACTCAATCTTAGTCGCCAGAAAATAGCGGCTCGGGCCCTAACTATCAGATTAAGCACCATCCCTTAGACCCTAAAACCCGAAACCTTTGTGCGACGTGGCTTGCATAATCTAGTCCGAATCTCGCAGTGTGACGACAGGCACCAAGCAGTGACTTCCGACGACCCTGGGACCCGAAACCCAGAAGTCCCTGTCTAGGCCTCAACCCTAAACTAAACCGCTGAATCCTACACTTTAAACCCGAAATTCACAGCCCTCGACCACGAAACCCCCACCTTGAATCCGAAATCGTGTGATTTGCAGGGCTTCCCGCAACCCTAAACCCAAAAGCCGGCTCAGACCCAGAAGCATTGGAGAAAGCCAGCAACCCGCGTGCGCGCCTGCCAAGTGTAGCATCGTCTGCAGGGTCATCGCCGGATCCTGTGGTTCTCCCTTTTTGGGGCGTAGGCCTCAGGGCCTATTTAGGGTTTAGGGTGTCGGGCTAGGATCCAAAGTTTAGGGCTTAGGGTACGCTTCGGGTTTTAAGTTATGAGTTTCGCGGGGGAGTGCGGGGAGGGGGGGACGGTCGCCGCTTAGTTACGGATGTTCATGGTCATGGCCCTTCTGCTACCTTCGGACCTTTCACCCTTAGCTTCGAAAGCTTCCTTCTAAGGCGGGGCTTCGGGTTATTGGTTGAACCAAACCCTGTGCTACCGACCGCGAAAGCCAACCGAAGCTTATTCCGCTAAGAACAGTCTTAAAATAGTCAAGTACTAGCCCATCAACACCAAGCTCATCAACTACATTGGTTTAATCGTGCATGCATGTTACCTTGCTTGCGGCTCGTTTCACCTCGTCTCTATGGTTAGCAACAGCAGTCACTCACATCCTAAACCCTACATCCCACATCCTAACCTGAACCAAGAACCCTACGTCCGAAATCCGAAGCCCCAAAGTTAACCCTAAACCCTAAACCCTTAACCTGTCACCCTCCCTCCCTCTTGCAGGGTCCAGAAGGGCGACGCCCTGAAGCGCCACGCCACCCGCAGCCAGGAGACCTTGAGTCCAAACGAGGCTCCCTTAAGGGCTTTTGTTTTTAAGGGTTTGCTTTTAGGGTTCCTTTAAGGGGTCTCTTTAAGGGCTTTGATTAAGGGTTCCTTCAAGGGACGTCTTCAAGGCACTACGTTGGAGGCGTAAGTTTGAGAGTTCTGGGCTCGGGCGAGCCTACGGGGTCGGAGAGTTTTGGTGTGGCCGTGTTTAAGGTTTAGTCCATCTTCCTTAAGCTTGGTTTCTAGATCTTGACGCCCAAATCACGGTTTTAGGGTTTAGGCCTCAGGGTTCAGGGTTTGGGGAAGCCTTGTGTCAAAACTCGGCTGTGGACAGAAATGACACAGCAAGGGAAGGCGGCAGCATTGGCAGTCGCAGTTTACGGCAAGATAGAGGTAGGGCCAGATAGGGGTGCGACTCGTACGACCAGAATTTGTACGAGCAGCAACCAGTCACTCGCAGAATGCAGAATGACAGTAGATGCCACTGACACACGCACGCAAACGTAAAAATAACCATATCATGAATTCTCCGTACCTGCTGCATCCTGATGGCTCTCACCACCGTCACTATCATAATCACCATCGACACCAGTATCCTCATCATTCCAGGGCCTATCACAGCACCATGCTCGTAAGAGGAAGACCAGCTCGTAAAGGAAGGGGAGACACCAACAGCTCCACCGGAAACGAGAAGAACATTAACACTAGCACAACGAGACTAGCAGCCACTGCCAGAAGCACGCAAAACTTCTGCTGCTTAGGGCCTTCAACACACCGCTATAGGGGGAGTCGGTACCTGACAACAAGAGAGCTACACGGAAAGACCATACCTACCCTAAATCCTAAACCCCAAACCTGGAGAGATCATACTTTGCAACAGCCTGGACAGCAGGGGACGAACTATGGAAAGGGGTACCGGCTGTCAGTTCTCAACCCGAGACCCTAATGTACCCCTGAAGCCCGAAACACTAAACACCTCAGCCCTAAAGCCCCTAAGCCGAGCCCCAGACCCTAAACTCCTAGGCCCTACACCCCTAAAAGCCCTAAATCCTACAGAGCCCCTACACCCCTGAACCCCGAAACGTAAACCCGGGTTCAGTCAAATCCTTCAAAGCCTTGAAGGAGGCCTGAACCCCTAAACCCGAGTTCCGTCAAACCCTTAACGCAACCCTGAAAGCAGCCCACAAACCCCTAAACCCTAAACCNNAAACCCCCAAACCCCGAAACCCCGAAACCCCTAAACCCCTATGCAAAACCCTAAACCCCGAAACCCCGAAACCCCTGAACCCCTACTAAACCCCTAAACCCCGCCGAAACCCCGAAACCCCGAAACCCCTGAACCCCTGAACCCCTAAACCCTAAACCCCTACACCCCTAAACCCCTATACCCGTAACCCCTAAAACCCTACGCCCCTAAACAAGAGCTGCAAGTAGACGAAGAGGGGCCGTAGAAGCTGAACTCCTCGCCGGCCTCTCCGGCTCGACCTCGTGGCAAGGAAAAGGCGGTCTTTTAGGTTTTGGGGCGGAATAGGGTTTAGGGTTTATGGTTGAGTAGGGTTTAGGGTTGAATAGGGTTTAGGGTTTAGGTTTTAGGGTTTTAGGGTTTAGGGTTTAGGGTTTAGGGCTTAGGGCTTAGGGCTTAGAGCTTAAGGTTTAGGGTTTAGGGTTTAGGGCTTAGAGCTTAAGGTTTAGGGTTTAGGGATTAGGGGGTTAGGGTTTAGGGTTTAGGGCTTAGGGTATAGGGTTGAATAGGGTTTAGGGTTGAAGAGGGTTTAGGGTTTAGGGTCTAGGGTTGAATAGAGTTTAGGGTTCAGGGTCTCGGGCTTAGGCTTTGGGCTTGACTAGGCTTTAGGGTTTAGGGTTTTTAGGCCTTAGGGATTAGGGTTTAGGGCTTAGGGTTTGCACTATGAGGTTCTTTAATAGGGTTCCCTTTAAGGGCTTAGGAATTAAAGAAGAGGGTGTAGGTTGAGTTTAAGGCCATGTCAAGGCAAGTTCACGGTGATTTGTTGGGTTTACGGTTTTGAGCCTTAAGGTTTTGGGCTTAGGCCGTTAGGGTTTTGGGGCTTGGTGGTTAAGGGTTTGGGCTTAGGGCTTACGGTAGGTTCATTGACTCTGCAATCTATGCTGGTCCTTCAGCTTACAGCATAGACATTAACGCAAACAGCAATATAGCATGTGGATCTGTATGCTGGCAAGCATGCCAAAACAAACAAAAATGCAGAGTGGCGTACATACAAATGAACATGCATGTGTATGTGTACATATACACACACCAAAATGCACACATACATGTACGAATACAATTACGTCAAGCAATAGGAATAGGCATGCGCAGCCGGTCCATCTATCTATCTATCTAACTATCTATCTGTCTATCTGTCTATCTGTTGATCTGTCTATCTGTCTATCTGTCTATCTATCTATCTATCTATCTATCTATCTATCTATCTACCCATCTATCTATCTATATCTATCTATCTACCTGTTTATCTATCTATCCATCCAGCCATCCATCTATCTACCTATCTATATACACAAATGTTCCTGTGAGTGTGTGTGCGTTTGCGTGTATGTATCTTTGTCTGTATCCCATATGTCTGTTAAATGTATGTACGTATGATGTAGGTATGTATGTATGCTATGTATGTAAGTATGTATGTATGTATGTATGCATGTATGTATGTATGTATGTATGTATGCATGTAGGCATGTATGCACGTGTGTGTGTGCATGCATGCAAATATGATGGATATCGGGATGGATGCATGGATGGAAGAGTGCATGGCTGGATGGATGGATGGATGGAT